TTGTCCCTCTCCCCGTTTCCCCGTTGTCCCTCTCCCCGTTTCCCCTTTGTCCCTCTCCCCGTTTCCTCTTGTCCTTCTCCTGTCCCTGCAGTGCTGCAGAGGCTGCTGGAGCAGATCCTCACCTGCGAGGGGCTGCTCCCCTCCCCGCGTTTCCAAACGGAGCCGATCACTCTGTTCCAGTTTTATCGATACCTGGACAGRCACCACATCGCCAGCCTGGAGAAACATTTGGCAAAGCTGGCCAAAGAAGGTAAAAAAAGAAGGATCTTGGCTCCTCCTGCAGGGCTGGGGCCTGCCAGGTTCCCTCTCGGTGCAATTCCAGAGCAGGAAACAGCCCAACCCTTGCGCTGACAATTTGTTTCCATTTTAATYCCTCTTATGACCATGTAGTTTTAATCAGAACAGGAAAACCACGCTTGACTCCCGTATCTGACCATGTGCAAACAARCGCCGTGTGAAGGATGGGCTTATCTTAAGTGCCCTGCAAAGTGGGTTCTGGGATATCCCGAAGTTAAAACAGACACAGAGTYAGGAGCAGCCTCCAGCTGGATCCAAGGACTGCCTGCAGTCTGTGCCTTTGGTTCACTATTGCAGCTGGAACCCACACAGAAAATAGCAATAAAATTTCAGGGGTTACTAACGTGCGTTTTGTAGCCTGAGGTAGCCCGTGCCTCCCTGGAGTCCTGTCAAATCTGAAAGCACTTCAAAGCTTTCTCTGTATTTAAAATGAATTCTTTTTRAAGTAGTCCCGATATTGGCTGCATCTTTAGGCTTGAGTTGGGGCAGATGGGTGCTGTGGAGGGGCACTGAGGGCTCTGCTGCCCCAGCCTGGGGACAGGGACACGGATAGGGACAGGGACAGGGATGGAAGGCAGTCCTGCTGTGCCACCTCGGGCTGTCACCGGCCGGGATCCCCGGGCTGGCAGCGGCTGCGGGGTGTTTGCTGTGCGGGGAGTGAGGCGGCTCCTTCCTTCCCCCGCAGTGATGCTGATCGAGGAGCTGCAGTGCCCGGGCAGGCTGAAAACGCTCAAGAAGCTGAAGGGGAAGAGGCTGRCGAAGCTGCAGCCGCTGCCGCAAACCCTGCGCCTGCTGGGGCTGCTGCAGCTGGACGAGAACCACCGCGTGAGCAAAGCGGCCACGGCGTGTCTGAACCGCTGGGCGGGGAGCGGCCGCAGCCTGCGGGAGAGGGTGAGTGCGGTACCCGGGATTGGGAGAGAGGATGAGTGTGGTACCCGGGATGGGGAGAGGGTGGGTGCGGTACCGGGATGGGGTGAGGGTGAGTGCGGTACCCGGGATGGGGAGAGGATGAGTGCGGTACCCGGGATGGGGAGAGGATGAGTGCGGTACCGGGATGGGGGGAGAGGATGAGTGTGGTACCCGGGATTGGGAGAGAGGATGAGTGCGGTACCGGGATGGGGAGAGGGTGGGTGCGGTACCCCGGGATGGGGAGAGAGGATGAGTGTGGTACCCGGGATGGGGGAAGAGGATGAGTGTGGTACCCGGGATGGGGGAAGAGGATGAGTGCGGTACCCGGGATGGGGGAGAGGATGAGTGCGGTACCCGGGATGGGGAGAGGATGAGTGTGGTACCCGGGATGGGGAGAGGATGAGTGTGGTACCGGGGATGGGGAGAG